AACAAATATAAAATACAGAATGATAATGACAAATAGCAAACAAATAATGAAATAAGAATATAACTGAACAATGAAATAAACAAAATATAATTTAAAATATAAACAACAAGAAAAAATATAATTAAGAATAATAAAAAAAACAATGATAAAGCAAATGATAAATAAAGAATAAAAAACAATGAAATAATAAAATAAAGAATTTATAAACAACCTGGGGATACAAATGAATAAATAAGGAATATACACAATAATGAATAAACAAAAATAATAAATACAAGAAATGTAACAACAATGGTGAAACACTTATAAATATAAGAATAATACGGATGATATTATACAAATAATAAATAAAGCAATGAAAACATATGATAAACAAATATAAATAAGAATAAAAAAACAATGCTAAAACAAATAATATATAAGAATATAAACAACAATGAAAACCAAATAATAATAATAATTTAACACAGTAACAAACAAAATAATAATAAAAAAAAAATGACAATGAGCAAACAAATAACAATTAAATAGAATATAACAACAAATGATAAAACAAATCATAATAAGAATCTTAAAAACAGTAACAAACAAGTAAGTAGAATAAAAAATAGTATAATAAAATACAAAAAAATATAAAGAATATTAACAAAACAATGATAAACAAATAAGTAAATTAAAGTGATAATAACATGATAAACATTATAATACGACTAAAGAATATAACAACAGTAACAAACAAATAATAAATAAAAATATAATGACAATAACAATACATATACATCATAAGAATATAAACGAACATATATAAACCAAAATGAATTAATAAAATATTAATACAATAGCAACAAATACTAACTAAGAATATTATTATAACAATGATAAAAATATTAAAGTAAAGGAATGTATATAAACAACTGATAAACAAATACTAAACTTAAAGAATATAACAACAATGCATAAACACATAATAGATAAAATATATGACAATTAAGCAAGACAAATAATAAGAAAGAATGTAACAACAAATAAAAACAAATATACAATAAGAATATAATCAACAATGAAAAAACAAACAATACAATAAGGGGACGTTATAACAACAATGGTAAAAACAAAACATAAATAAAGAATATAAATAAAGAATGAAAAAACAATGATAAACAAATAATAAATAAAGAATATAACAACAATGATAAACAAATAATAAATAAAGAATATAATAACAATAGCAAACAAATAATAAAGAAAGAATGTAACAACAATAACAAACAAATAACAAATAAAGAATATAACAACAATGAAAAACAAACAATAAATAAAGAATATAACAACAATGAAAAACAAACAATAAATAAAGAATATAACAAACAACAAATAATAATAAAAATAAACAATAGAAACAAATAATAAATAAAGAACACAAAAAACAAAAACTCAGGCACCGCAGAATCGAAAACGCCGCCAACCTGCGATGATGCTTTTTGCAAGCTCTTATTTACTGGCCCGTAATTGTGTGCAAATGCTGTGGGTAATGCGCGAATTGAAGTGATCTTTGTGGCGGAAGTGTTATGGTCGCCGGGCCTGTAATATTCATGTCTTCCTTCGGGGGCGAATGGATGATAGATGGCGCTGATAGATTGTCCACTGAATCACTTTGGGCTCCTTCTATCGGGGGCATTTCGCGAGGCTTTTAGCCGTGTTTGGACGGGGTAGATCTATCACGAGGCTGAGGAGGAGGATTGAGGAGCGGGGATTGTGGGGGTGGTCGACCCTCCTATCCCTCCCCCCACCCACCACCCCTCTCTCTCCTTTTTTACCTTTTTACTTTTTTTTTTTTACTTTTACTTTTTTCCCTTTTCTTTTTTTCTCTTTTTTTCTCTTTTTATTTACACATTCTCGTGGGATGTATTTGATTGGTCCGTAACCTGCACTTGCGGACTGCTATATGCGCCGGGAGAAAATTTGAACACAATATTGATAGGTTTAGTATCGCAGACTTGAAGAAATCTTTGATGTGTGAGCTGCAAAGTTGTGGTGAAAGGGATAGTTATGTATCTTTGCAGTGTATATGATACACATACACGCACTAACACACATACACACACACTCACTCGCTCACACAAATACAAAAACAAACATCCACACACACACACACAAACACATACACACGCAAACACAAACACTAGCACGCACATACACACGAACACACACATACACAAAACAGACACACAAAACACACACATACAAAACACAAACAAACACACACACACAACACCACACACACACACACACCAGACACACAAAACACACACATACAAAACACAAACAAACACACACACAAACACAAACACACTCACAAGCACACACACACGCGTTCGTTCGTTCGTAGTAAGTAGGTGGCTGCAAAGGGAAGAATGAGCATTGTGAAGGGGGCGAGAGGGGGGGGGGGCTGGTTTTCAAATACCAATAAATCCGATAAGGAGTTAATAGCCTACACTAATATATTTATATAAGAAATCCTTACTAGTGTCCATGTTTTCTTTATGAGTTATACACGATTACATTACAATCTGAATAAGAAAAAAATCTTACTATTAATATTTCACTTACTATTTGAAAAAGAAAGAAAAAATGTACTTTACTACGTTTGTATAAACCTGTGTGTTGAAATGCCTATACATTTTATCTTAATCTATAGCGTTTTATTTTTGTTCGTTTGTCATTACCCTTGTTTTATCTCTCCCTTTCTTTACCTGTCACTTTTTTTCTAATTAATTTCTCTATGTCTATCTGCCGGGTTATCTTCTCTCTCCTTTCTCTCTCTCCCTCTTCTCCCTCTCTCTCTCCCTCTGCTCTCTCTCTCTCTTCTCTCTCTCCCTCTCTCTTCTCTCTCTCTCTCTCTCCTCTCTCTCTCTCTCTCTCTCTCTCTCTCTCTCTCTCTCTCTCTCTCTCTCTCTCTCTCTCTCTCTCTATCTCTCCTCTCTCTCTCTCCTCTCTCTCTCTCTCTCTCTCTCTCTCTCTCTCTCTCTCTCTCTCTCTCTCTCTCTCCTCTCTCTCTCTCTCTCTCTCTCTCTCTCTCTCTCTCTCTCTCTCTCTCTCTTCTCTCTCTCTCTCTCTCTCTCTCTCTCTCTCTCTCTCTCTCTCTCTCTCTTTCTCTCTTCCTCTTTCTATCTGTCTCCTTTTCTCCTTCTCTCTTTGCATGAGAGAACGCGAAAAAAAAAAATATTTACCTGCATTTCTGGATACATTCAGCCGGTATTTACACTCTCTCGAGCAAGATTTCCTCCTGAAAGGTGCTTACATACCTTCCCTGTGACCATTCCTGAACGCTGTTGACTCAGGTAAGCGTATGGTGTATCGAGATCCATTTGCCCCGAATGTGGAACTCTTTTCGAGAATGTATTGCTTGGACACATGGAGCGGAATACATAACCTTATTTGGTATATAACTCCAGCTGCACTATTCATAAACAGCAAATATCCACTCAGCGGATTTAGAGAAACGCTGGATTTATGAGCGTTTTTGGTGTTTTTCTTTGGCCTTTCTATTTTCTATTGCTTTCTCTCTAGATTTTTCTGGTCAAAGATTATTGTGAATGTAATCGTGGTCAGAGGCCATAACTCCTGTGTTTTGGCTTTTTCGTAGAAAGGGTGACGGGAGGAGTGCACGCACACACAGACACACACACACACTCTCACACACACATACAAGCGCGCGTGCGCACGTGAGAAAGCTAATATATATATATATATATATATATATATATATATATATAATATATATAATATATATATATATATATATATATATATATATATATTACATACAACGCTTGCTTGGACCATTTGGAACTTTCATCATTGTCACATTTTAACAACTACTATTATTCCATTTCTCTCTCTCTCTCTCTTTCTCTCTCTCTCTCTCCTCTCTCTCTCTCTCTCTCTCTCTCTCTCTCTCTCTCTCTCTCTCTCTCTCTCTCTCTCTCTCTCTCTCTCTCTCTCTCTCTCTCTCCTCTCTCTCTCTCCTCTCTCTCTTTCTCTCTGCAAAAGTGTCAGCGTGTATATGCATATATAGTTTGTATCCGAGCGATATATATTACAAACATAGGTTCATTCATTTTTGAAAAGAAATATTTTCGATTTGTGCTCCGCTTCCCCCTGATGCACTTACATATGTTTGGAAATACAGATATATATTATTTGCATTTCAGCAACGCAAATAAAACAAAAATGAGTACAGCAAACAACGAGACAAAACAAAGAAAAGAAAAGCGTCATATGTCAATGTCAATTTGGCCTTTCAAGAACGAGAAAGCGAACGAGGCCATTGGCATATGCTATCCTCTTGACATATCACTAAATAGGATTTTCTTAACTTCTGACTCAAAAAAAAAAAAAAAAAAAAAAAAAAAAAAAAACACTTATTTGAAAATTGTTCTCACCCTCTCCCTTGCGATATGCAAATGCACACACACATAAACACACATAACACAAGTGCCCGCTGAGACCTTCTGAGACACACACAATCACGTGACTATATCCATTGGCTTGCATTGACGAAGGGAAGGAGCCATGGGGGATGCAGAACCTTAGGCAATTTGGCTTTTGCATTACGTATGGGCTGATAAAACTTTTTGGGCTATATACATAATCCTACACACACACACACGCACACACAGGAGAGGGAGAGAGAGGGAGGGAGGGAGGGAGGGAGAGGGAGGGAGAGGGAGGGAGGAGGAAGAGGGAGGGAGGAAGAGAGAGGAGGGAGAGGGAGAGGAGGGAAGAGAGAGAGGAGAGAGAGAGAGAGAGAGAGAGAGAGAGAGAGAGAGAGAGAGAAGAGAGAGAGAGAGAGAGAGAGAGAGAGAGAGAGAGAGAGAGAGAGAGAGAGAGAGAGAGAGAGAGAGAGAAAGCAAAGAGAAAATAGAGAAAGTGATACGAAACGACTTGTATTTAAAACTAAACATGAACAATTTTAGGGTGCGAATAAAAACACAACAAACTTCTTTCTAACAAGAGAAAAAAGTCTTTATTAATAGAATGACCACGTACTCATCACCACAATATTAAAGAATGACAAAGCAATTTATCTTTCTTTTAAAATCTCACCAATATCAAGTAGGAAACAAAAAAGAAAGAAAAAAATACAAAATATAACTATTCCATTATTTCTAACCATAACAATTTTCCTAAGTGACTAAGAGCAGCAGCAGCATCGCCTGACTTCAAGGTCCCTTTAAGAACACTTGACGCTTGCACGAAATGCTCTTAAGGGGATGCGTTGGCTTCAGCTTGTCTCTTCTCAGCTAACTTGGTTAAGATGATCCTGTGTATATCCAAGCCGTTGAATTGCTTCTGGATGGCCTGTAGGGAAAAAAGGGGAGAGGTAGTCTTTTTCTCTTTCTCTGTCTCATTCTGTTTGTTTGTCTGTCTGTCTCTGTAAGTCTAAAGAGGGGAGAGATAGTCTTTTTTCGCTTTCTCTGTCTCATTCTGTCTGTTTGTCTGTCTGTCTCATCTTAATGTCATACATTCCATAGCTCTGTTTTTGAGAGACTAAAGAGGGGAGATAGTTTCTTTTACTTTCTCTGTCTCACTCTGTTTGTTTGTCTGTTGGTCTGTCTGTCTGTCTTTCGCTTTCGCTGTCTCATTCTGTTTGTTTGTCTGTCTGTCTGTTTGCCTTTATAAGTTTAAAGAAGGGAGAGATAGTTTCTTTCGCTATGTCTGTCTGTCTTTTTAAGTCTAAAGAGGGGAGATTTCGCTTCTCCGTCTCGTTGTTTGTTTATTTGTCTCTGTGTCTAAAGATGGGAGAGATAGTCTCTTTCGCTTTCTCTGTCTCATTCTGTTTGTTTGTCTGTCTGTTTATCTGTCTTAATAAGTCTAAAGAGGGGAGAAATATGTCTCTTTCACTTTCTCCGTCTAATTCTGTTTTGTTTGTCTGTCTCTGTGTCTAAAGAGGGGAGAGATAGTCTCTCTGGCTTTCTCTCTCTTGGTCATTCTTTTGTTCTCTGTCTCATTCTGTTTCTTTGTTTGTCTGGCTGTTTGTCTCTGTATGTCTGTTAGTCTGTTTATGTATCTGTCTGTTGTCTGTTTGTCTCTGTATGTCTCAATATGTCTGTATCTGCATCTGTCTGTCTATTAGTCTGTATCTGTATCTGTATCTGTAGTCTGTCTCGGTCTGTCTGTCTGTTTGTCTTTGTCTCTGAAAATTTTCTTACCTGTATTATACCACTCACGTATTTCGTTGAGTACGTGTGCAAATACATCCTCGTTTCTTTTTTTTCGTATTTTATGTGTCTCCATATGGGCAAACATGCGTTTACCTAAGTTTATGTGTGTTTAGATACTTTATATTTTCATAGGGTGCCATTTGAGCTATTTTAAGGACGTTTACCTGGTGGATTTTGGGCTCAATCTTGTCCATGATGATATTCCTGAAGGTGTTGGGTAGGAGATTGACCATCAGTTCAACGAGATAGTCCATGGTGCTCTCTCCTACCGATCTCACAGCCAGATTACCTTGGGGGAAAAAGGTGGAAGATCAGATGGTTTGAATACTATGTGGAGAACGAGGGCAGTGATGCAGAAGGTGATGTGATTTTATTTTTCCTCTCTATCTCTTTTATTTTAGTCTCTTTTTCTCGTTCTCTCTTTAGTTTCTATCTCTCTCTCTCTCTCTGCAGTTTCTCTCCTTTTCTCTTCAGTTTCTCTCCTCCCTCCCCCCCCCCCCTCTCTCTCTCTCTGTCTCTCTCACTCATTCACTCACTCACTCTCTCCCTCTCCATCTCTCTCTCTACCTCTCTCCTCTTCTTTCTCACCATTCCTCTTACCTCCCTACAGTCGATCTCTCACGCGGTGCTCCTGTGACCTGGTGCCTAGCCATTCTAAGCTGCATTCTCCGTCCCTCCCCTTGGGCTTGGGTCAGGTCATTCACTCCCGGTCACTCCATCTGGCATTTCTCCCTGGGACGTGGCATTCGTTCAGGTGTTAGGATGCCAGTCTCACAAGTTCACCTTTGACCTTCACCTGGTCACTGACCCTTACTTCCTACTTATGACTTTCCTCACGCATGCTTTACTCACATCACCTAACCAGCTCGATTCAGATTTCGTACTCATATCTAAAGTCCACCACCATTCTTCTTTATCATAGTCCCCCCTTTCCATCTTATCGCATTCCCACACCTTCCCGTTTTCTTCCTGTATCATCCCCGCCTTTCTTTCTCGGGGAAGGCTAGATCAGTAGCAACTCGAGGTGTCATGGTGTCCCACAGGGCTATTTTGATGATTGTTCAGTGAAAATATAACTATTGAAATAATTATTTTCCATCCTTTTTGAAAATGGAAAAGACCAAAAACGATCGACCAATTCACAAAGCGTAACACGTCATCAAAATAAACCCCATGTGCTTATTTCAAAAACAGAATCAGACGCCATGACACCTCCTCGAGTTGCTACTGATCCAGCCTTCCCCTTTCCTTCTCTTCCCCTCCTCCTTCTCTCCACTTTACCGAGCTGGATATCAATCTCCCTCAGCACGGGAGGGCTTCGGATGTCGGCCGGCTGCTTGGCCATCACGGTGACGGACAGGCTCTCCACCTCGACGTCCAGATGGCCTCCCACAGCGGGCATCAGTGAGGCGGAGATGGACCAATCAGCGCCGGCCTTCAGCTGCTGCGTCCCGATCTGGAAGGTTCTGCTGCGGTTAGATTGGCCTTGGACTTCCTGGCGGTTCGAAGTCGGGTTAAAAAGCT